CCCATTACCCCAAACCTTTCTTTTCACTCTCTCTGAAAAGCAGTGGAAAAAATACCCTTGGGTGAGGATTAACAATCCTATATAATAAAACCCTAATATGCAAATTGACTGAAAGGCAGAACGACGGATCACTCTGACACACATTGACCACCAGGGGGCAGATGCTCAACTCAGGAGCTGCCCTGGTGCTCAGTACATTTCCACAGAGGGAGCACCGCTCAGCCAGAAGCCGGGCTCATGGCCAGTGGTGGTGGTAGGAGCTTCTCCCGCCTCCGCAGCAGCGCTAAGGACCCCTCGGGGGATCTATGCCTGTGGGCAGACATCCCCCGAGGGGTCCCGGACTGCAAGAGGGTGCAGGCTGGGCTGAGGGGACCACCCGCCCCCAGTGCACAAATGTCATGCACCGGGCCTCTAGTAAATAAATAAAATCTTTAAACATTTGTGTAAATCACTGACAATTTCAGTGAGTTTAGAAGTGAGCAAAGACACATAGAGAGCAGATGAGAAGTATTCTTAGCCTTTTGGAGTTAGAACTAGTTTGAGAGAAACATCCTATTATATAAACCAATCCTCGAGACGTAAAAAGAGTCTATACAGCACTTTAGGAAAGAAGAATGGCAATTAGTTGTTTATAAATAAATTTGGTGAAATTTGAAAACAGTGAATGAGACCCAGAAGGAAAAGCTGCCCTCACAGTTTAAGGATGATCTAACAATGGCCACCGTGTTTAAGCCAGACTTTCTCCTTTCACTTATGTCTTCATTTTCTTGACCTTCTTGTCACCTTGTAAGCACTTTTCTCCTCTGGCCAACCTGACCCCATTCTTTAAAGTCAACACCCTTGAATGTCCTGTTTCTAGAAGTTAGAAACTTCTTTAACTGACTTCTCAGTGTAATGAGTATCATGTATCACCATTTTAATTCAAACCATGGTGAAGGTCTGTCAACCTTCTTCTCCTAGAGTGATAGTTAAGCACCCATTAACATGAATACAACTAACACATAGATGCACTGAACTTGAATTCTATGATATAAACTTGCCCCCCCCCCCCCAAAAAAAAGTAGAAACATGAATTCTTTATCTGGTTTTAAGTAAATAGCAATTTGTTCCTAAACTGGGGGAAAATCTTATGTGTATATTACACTTTGAATGTTTATGAAAAGTCCTTGGACTCATCTCTCTGTCTTCAGGTATTAACTCCTGGCCAATTTTTTTCCCCTCTGTACTCATATCCCTGTGTGAATGTCCCAGACACACAGTCAAGCAGTCAACTTGGTATTAACTATTTTCCTTACTCTGCTTCATCACTGGCTTCAGGTCTGATCATGCCCTTTTCCTTCTCTGGCCTGATGCAAACCAACACTCAGGTGGCTTTTAACTTTATGTAAAGAATAATGTCAAAACTGAAAGCTGTATTTTAATACAGTGCCTAGTTTTCTTAAGGGCAGAATACATGTTAATTAAAAAACAAAACAAACCTAAGCATTTTGTGGTGACTGCATCATTTTAAAAAAGCTTTTTATGGATACATTTAAGTGCTAATCTGATAACTGGAATTATCCCCCTATAGCAGGAATACTGGAAGAATTTGCAAAGAAGATTTTGTGCAGAGAAAAGGATACAAAATTAAATTCTATTTTAAATTTACAGAGATGGCAGAAAAATCATAGAGTTTAATAATGGCCAGAGAGAACTACACACTGCCCACTTCAAGAGACGGGAGTATCCAGATGGCACTGTTAAAACTGTCTATGCAAATGGTCATCAAGAAACAAAATACACATCTGGTCGAGTAAGAGTTAAAGACAAGGATGGTAATGTTCTAATAGATACAAAATTGTAATAATCCTGTGGGTGTGAGTAATCATGAAATAACACTAACTTGATTTCTTGTTAAAAATGTACATTTCTTTTGGATTTTGTGGTTTAATTTATATATATGTAGTGTGTGTGTGTATATATATAAATGAAAAAGATTGTTTGAATATAAAATAACATTTATAGCTTTTCATAATGTTTGAAATGTACAAGGACAGCTTTCATTTTTAATTCTTCTACTCTGTTAACACCTAAGGAAAGACTATTATTGTTATAAACTGTATAAACTTTAAAAATAAGTAGGTGCTTTTATTGGTTGGAGATCCTTATAAAAAAAAAATAAGTATGCCCAGCTGGGTGGCGCAGTTGGTTGGAGCATCATCCCATACACCAAAAAGGTTGTGAGTTCGATTCCCAGTCAGGGCACATACCTAGATTGCGGGTTTGATCCCTGGTTGGGGTGCATATGGAAAGCAACCTATTGATGTTTCTCACATCAAAGTTTCTCTCTCTCCCTTCTTCTCTAAAAAAAATCAAATATATCCTCAGGTGAGGATTTTTTTAAAAAAAGTACAAGATACACAGTATTGCATAGCGTTTCCACGACATTAGCCACAGAACAAGGACTTGTACAGAAAATCTATACTAGTAAGCATTTTACTAGTCAAAATATTACTAGGTATAATTAGTACAAAAATTAAAGCATTTTATCTGTTACAGAGGTTCTTTAATTGTAACGAAATGAGAAAGTAAAATAGGTAAAAGTTCCTTCTTTGAGTACAGATGAACTGAGTGAAGAGAAAGCAATTATAATGAGCAGTTACACTGTAACTGGTCAAAATGTAACACTTGAGACTGGAGGGGTCATAGCTGATTGGCTACAGGTGCCTGTATGTTATGACCTACTAGAGGCCTGGTGCATGAATTCGTGCATGGGTGGGGTCCGGCCGGCCTGCCCTGATGGGGGCCCATCGGGCCAGTGTGGGGGAGGGGCTGCAGGCAGTTGGCCAACCAGCCCCACCCCTGACCGGAGTGGGTGATTGGGGGTGGGGCCGGTCAGGGGGAGGGGCCGTGAGCAGTTGGCGGCCAGCCCCGCCCGATTGGGGTGTTGGGGGCTGATTGGGGCCTGGATCAGGCTGGTTGGCTGCCACAGTGCACGTCATAGCGACTGGTCGTTCTGCCATTCCAGTCGCTGGCCTTTTATATATATACTAGAGGCCCGGTGCACGGTGCAC